ATTATACATATAATATTAATCTATACAATAATATTAGATTTAATTAGAAATCTTATAGAATTAAAAATTTTAATCATTTGAAAATATTATTTGATTATAAATTTTAATTAATTGAATATTTTATTCAATTAAAAATTGTGCTGAATTAAAAATTCTATTGAATTATAAATCGTGTTGAATTAAAAATTTTATTAAATTAAAAATTTGATTTTATTTGATATAACGTCGAAGATCGCGTTCTTTGTACAAAGTTAATTTTATTTTCTCCATTGTGTTCCATTGAGCTTTGAACATATACATTGAAGTGCACACCTTTATGGATCATGTGGTTACCAAGAGATAAAAGAAATGATCGTAAAGAAACGTGTTTTCCTCGTGTTCACGCAAAATCAAGTGTGGCTAATTATACGAAGAAATTATGAGTCAGTATTCAAGTATTGACAGTATCACGTGAACTAATGATACAATAATCAGTAATTCGACATTGAAAATGCATTACGATATTGAAAGTTATCGAGCACTTGCAAAATTATTTTCAAAAACCTGCAGCGTTTGCAAAAAATTCATGGTAAAAATATTTCTTATATAATATATTTCTATAATATAATATAATACTTATTTTTATTACTTATTACTTCATCTATGGTATAATATGAATAGTACTTGTTTCTATAATACTTCTATAATATTATGTAATACTTTTTTCTATAATATTTCTATAGTATTATGTAATACATCTTTTTTCTACATATCATCTATAACATTATATAATACTTGATTCTATAATATTTCAGTAATATAATGTAAAACTTTCTCTGTAATGCTTTTAGCTATATTTGAGAACGAGCAGTCTTTTCGAAAAATTACAAGAAGCATTTCCATTGAAACTGATGCGTTCCTTCCCATTTAAATATTTATATTCCGCAGATTATCGAATGTTTCAATTGACTGTCCCAGAAAATAGAATTTTTAATTATCTATTGAAAAGTATTAGGTCACTTATTTCAAAAAAGAAACGTCTCTTTAATTAATCATTTTTATTCATATGTTGCTTAGTACTTTTTTTATAAAGAATTAAACACTGCGTCCAACAATATATTCGGAATTACAAGATCTAAAAAAAAAGAAGAAAAAACAAAGTTCATCTTCATACGACCCCCATACACTCGCCCACACGTGTCAACTCGCACGTGTCAAACTTTTCACCCATCGCAAGCCATTGAATTCTTATTGAAAAAATTTGTTTAATACCACCAACGGTTTCGAAGATTTTCGAACAATTGACTCAACTGAGATATCGGGAATCGCAGTGTCACGAAACGCAATGTTGAAACAACCGATGAAACATGCTGCAGATGAACAACTATCTCAAGAGCCGCTCTTCTGTTTAATTGTTTGCATGAAGCAACGTCGTAAATAGATATCGGTATCGGTAGCCGTATCCGTGACTAACCACTTCCGTTCAGCTAAGTGTAACACACTCTTCTTCTTTCTGCGCGTCTCCCGTTGCCGCTGACCAATACATTATTAAGAAATTATCGATGTCTTTCTAGTTTTCAGTCATCGCGATGAAACATGACTCACCGTGCCATTCTACGTATATCTCTGTCGCGTAACGTACGCGTCGATAAACATTGCCGTCTTCCAAATGGGAATTCACCGCGACGCCTCGTTCGCGGGTTTTTTCATTCGAGCACCACGCGTTAACGATCGCGACAAATTGATTCTTCGCTACATCGGACGACTTCTCGTGCGAAACTCTACGAGACCTAAGGAATACAAATTTTTCATCGGAGGCTCGGTTCCCGAGTAAAACGCGTTTCAAAATTCGGCGCGCGCGAGAGCTGCTGAAGCGCGAAAGTCGATGGCAGCTTTCAACGCAGATTTACTCGGAAACGAAGCGTCGTACGAAGAAAACGTGTTACCCATTTTTTGTTCTTTTTCGTAGGAAGAATAACGTAAGCTAATTATTCTCGCGATTCGGCGGATGGAATCGCGAGAATTTTTAACCGTTTAACTTGACGTTTAACCTGACGCTTTTTTCTAATACATCATTAGCGGAAAATTATCGAAAATGGCTCACAGTCCCAATTCGATGAAGATGTGGCAGCATTGATCGTAATGTTTATCTAGCTCACACGCTCTGTTTGCAGTGATACAAGTCGTCGTGCAAAGAGATGCGAATGCATTAATCGACGCCGCTTGTTCAACGGTGAATCGTTGGTTCGGCGAAGGCGATAGATAAAGAAATACCGGAAAAAGAAACGAGAATCCCAGTGTTAATAAGATTAAGAAGCCTTCGGCGGAAGCGTATCTATAGAAATAAAAGATTCCCCGGTTTCCGTTCGCGGCGCGGAATTCGTACGCGCGAAATCGAACGTACGGGGAAACCTTTGCGTGAAATCTTGATTATGCGCGAGTTCCGGCGACCAGGAAAACCTAGAGACGGCAAAACCGCGATAACATCATTTATTGGGATTTATCCTGAAATTCTTTTATAGATTATAGGATTTCCGTGTTCCGATCACGCGACGTCGCACGTGATATGCGGTCAAAACGTCTAAAATGTTATCAACAAAATATGCTGTTATGCATTTCCATATGTATACGTTCGCACCGCCGCGAGAAAATATATGCCGCTGTATAGTAAAGTCTGTGGTATAATTTTGTACTAGTCAAACTTGTCTAGCTAGCATAGTGGCAACATGAAAAATTCTGCAATGTGAAGATTCGCTGACGTTGTTGTTTCTAATAAATGTTGTTCAAACGTGCATGAACATTCATGATGTTGCAAAAATAAATATCACTGCATTCAGTAGTGTTCGTAGAATTATTCTACATAAAGTACGTTCACCTAACTTTCATGATTACTGCACGAAAAATTCTTCAATGAGAAGAGATTCGATAATACTGCTGTCACCGATAGCGAATACTGCACTTCTTCAAAAATTGTTTAAGTGTAAACGAACGTCCATAATGCAACAAAAATACATGTCACTCTGATCGTTAGGATTTGTAGAATTATACTACGTTGATCACACGTATCCTGTGTTTGTAGTTGCAGCACAGAAAATTCTACTATGTGAAGAATTGATATAATTGTTGTTTCCGATGGTAGAGATACTGTCTCTATTGAAACATTGTTTAAACATATATAAATGTTCATAATATTACAAAAATATATATCACTGTATTTGGCAGAGTTTTTAGAATGATTCCACGTAAGACACATCTACCGAATTTTCATAGTTGTAGCACGAGAAATTCGACAATGCGAAGATTCGATAAAGTTACTCTCTCCGTTGACGGAGTCTGTCTATCTTAAAAAATTGTGTAAACATACATGAACATTTATAATGTTAGAAAAATAAATACCACTGTAATCGTTAGAGTTTGTAAAATTATTCTACTCAAGGTACATTAGCTTAGGTGTCATAGTTACAGCACAAAAAATTGTACAATGTACAGATTCGGTAAAATTGCAAAATCCGAAGTGACTGAGTCTGTCTCTCTCAAATAATTGTTTAAACATGTACGAACGTTAATAATCTCACAAAAGTGTATATCACCGTATTTTGTATGCCTTGTAGAATTATTTTTCGCAAGGCACATTTACGTAGTTATCAAAATCTCGAGAAGCAAAGAATTATGGAAAAAACTGTTACGAAAACTTATAGAAAAACGCCGTTAGATATTACGATGCTGATGTCTTTCGTGTGAATATTGAAAGTCGGAGAAGAATTGAACTTGTTAAAATTCGTTAGCGAGTCATTACAGTCGGTACTCCCACATGTGAGAAAGGATTCGTGCGAAAGTAGATGACAGAAGCGGGAGAGAGAGTGAGACGGAGCATTCCGCTGTCGACCCTAATTGGATTGAACTTTAGTAGGCGAGCACACGCGATTTGTTGATGCACGTCCAATTAAAATGTGATTAATGCTTGGAGCCACGATTAAATTCTATCCAATTGCGAGCTTTCTATCTCCTTTCCGTCTCGTTCCTCCTTCGTCCGCGGTTAACTCCGCTACGGGATCTAATTAATCCGACTGATCCAACCGATCTCGATCCTAGGTTTCGTAGATCGAGGGTCCGCCAAGGAAGCTCTCGAAGCTGTTTCATTTGCCAAGAACAACAAAAATTTGTTGGAGCAGGTCGTGACAGTTCTGACGGCTCTGATAAATATTGCTAAATACTTTGCACCTGAGATACCAACGCTGGGTTCAATGCATCGTTCGATTTTATTTTCGACTGTGCTTGAAACACCGTCGTTGGACAGCGTATTTTTGGACAATGGACAGCAGATTTTTATGCAAATTCTCGTTCGCGTGACAAATACGAGAATTCTTCGTCTGAGACACAAGTAATAATCGATTTTACTTATTAACAAATTCAGCTGAAATCGATAAACTGTTATCAATTTTATCTAATAATAAAATCGTCCATTTTACGTAGATTATTATGTTATTAAATAAAATTGGTACATAAATTTATTGCATATTATGTTGATTATTTTATTATTAGCTAGTAAATCAATCTTTTTCAGCATTTATTTGATCTTTAAAATAAATTAAGCCAAATAAAATGGCTTGCTATATCAATCTTATTAATGAATAAAATAATCTACATTAAAAATCTAATCGATCAATTACTTTATCGATACACAAAATTGATATACAGATTTATTTTAATCGTTCAAATTTATCTTGTGTAGATAGTTTTATCGATAAATAATAATAATGTACTAAGCCAATCTACATAAAATAAATTTTGCTTAGTACATCATTATTATTTATCGATAAAACTATCTGCACAAGATAGATTGGAACAAATAAAATAAATCTGTATATCAATTTTGTGTGTCGATAAAATAATTTATCTCAATTCTTATGTATCAATAAAATCGATTTTATATCATAATCTCAATTATGTATTTCGCATTATTTGCACTGATTTATTAATAACGAAATGCATAAAAATCCGTAGTTTAGTTATAATGGTTGTTGCAATACCTGATAGTTACGGCCAGTAGGACGATAACGACGCCTACCAGCACCATAGCAATCAGCACCCCGCATATCATGTACACGCTGTCCACAGGAGGATCTGCAACAAACAAGAGTTTAATTGTTTTCTCTTTGTTTCATTCGCATATATTTATTGTTTAACGTATTTATTTCTAGAATTTAGTTTTTAGTTTATCAATTTATTTGTTTTTAACCATTTATTAATCTACGTATTTTCAAATTTACCTGTCCACTTTGTCATTGACTTTTTACATTTACTTATTTATTTATTAATCAGTCGTCAAAAGCGTTCTTTTTACCAAATGTGTACAATATTATTAAATTTGCATTAATCATTGCAATTATTGTTCTTAGTGGGGAATCTTTTTTTCGGAAGTGATAGTAATTAACGTTGACACATAATTTTATAAATAAAACGACCGACTTAACATTTCTCAGCTTGAACATGGCATGTCAAACGTCTACCACGTTATAGCATCGAAATCCGTTGAATATAATTAAAAAGATCTGTTGAATATAATTAACCATGAATTGATAAAAAGGTGGATTTAAGGTCAAGGGTTGACTCGCAGAGATTACTTTTAATCTTCGGATTGTTAATCGAGTGTATAAATATACCGAACATAATATTCTTTCATAACGTTTCACAGCTTCGCGATATCGTGCTTCGCAGGGAGTTGGAAAAAAACTGACCTCCAATCGGCAATCTGGATTATTTTGAGCAGCCATAAACCGATAATAAGCGTCACTTTCTTTACGTTTTTTTTATATCTTCCAACAACGTCCTTAATGGAATGTTCGAAGACTATTCACACGGACTGATTAATAATACTGTCTAGAACTGGTGGAAAAATGATTCCACAAATTTAATATGTTGTTGAAAATCTAGTTTACTATTTGGTAACATTTTAAAGGTATAATTAACGTAACAAAGAATCCATAACAATATTTTTCGGCCACTTGTTGCATTGTTTTAAATAATTGTTTTCTGATGCAAATTCAGAACTGTTTTTCTACTGTGTAATTATAGATTCCGATCTTTATTTAAATAAAGGCAGGAAAATGAGCCACTATTTCTTTTTATTAATGATCCTATATTTTTAATAAAATTTTTGATACACACACACATAAAATACTGGTTTATTTTACAATCTTCGTTTAAATAAAATTCTTTTAGTCTTGGAACATTCCAATTAAGAATGTTATTGGGAAATAGGAAAATATAATATATTATAAATATTACAAATAATACTACATATAAATTTATGAATATAAAAAATATATATATATATTTTTTTCATATTTCTTTATACATATATATTTATATGCCCGTCAAAATTAAAGCAGATATAAAGAAACGAAATAAAGTTAATTTCTCGTTAAGGAGGATAACAACCGTATTATTACAACACGCTGTGACGTCACTTTATCTGTGAGTACGTCCGGAAAAATCCGAACGTTCATTTATCCTCGTTCGAAGATACATATTGGCTTTTAAAATTAGCTTGCCCTATGTCGCCGGTAACCAATACAGCGTCGACCATATGTGACGACATGGCCGATCCAACGTTTGCCGTATGTGACGCCATAAACTTGCATTATGACGTTGCCGTGACGATGCTATATATGTAATGCGGTTTTCTTATTTTTAGATATCGATCAGAGGTCAGGCACATCGTGCCTGTACCATCATTGAAAAAAAAGAAAGAATGGAACATAGTTGCACGCGATAATCTCATTAACATTATTTGCAATTTTAACATTTTCCTTAAACAAGATTATCCGAACTCGACACAAATAATTAAACAAAATTGATATAAATGTAGTATCAGCAATCTTAAGAAATTTGTTGAACGCGGACAGTGGACAGAGTTACCATTTTAAATAGGCAAGGCTGTTCTCCAAACTTTGTTCAGAACATATCTTTTTACCAAAAAAATTTATGTTGATATTTTGCAACATTCACATAAATTAAGAATATACTGTTTCGCCAAAATTGCATAGTTAAAATAGTGAACGAAATTGTCCATTGACTCTAGAAAATATCCGTACGCTTTGATTTTTAATGAATTAATTAATTTAACCGTTGTCGCGTGAACTGTTATAATTCTTTAAATAAATATCGTACAATGATAAACCAGGAGTTTTTGAAATTAATACAATTTTGAAACACCCTGTATAACATGTTTCAGCACGCCGATGGACGGTACCATTTGTAAAATATTCCAATTCGATGACAACATTTATCTAATCAAAGTAAACAAATTAGTATAGATCAGTAGATTCTTTCTCGTAGTTTTGTTCCGTAACTGCAACCGATTTCAAATACGGATTGATCGGATTACGAACAGCCGCTTTTACGGGTTACACAGAGCCGAGCACGGTTATATACTATTATGTGTATTTACCTGCTAATATCCGGCTATTGTAACCTTCCTTTAGTAACCGGATTACTGATTGATTTATGTTACGCGCGATTTATGTATAATCTGCTCTCTGAACGACTTTGAAGCCGCTCTCCCGCGGGACACTGTGGGTTACCGTAACCTGGTTTGGATAATAATTGGAATATGGTTAGGTTATTTTAGGTTATGGTTAGGTTATGGTTAGCTTCGAGCTTTGAAATGATACCAAGTTTATTGTCTGACGACTCGTCCTCACAAAATTATGACAGTTCGAGTATCGACAATTTATCGATAAATATATGATAATATATATATATATATATATAACAATAATAATAATAATAATTATATATATAATAATAATAATAATTATTATATAATTATTATTATATATATATATATATATATATATAACAATAATAATAATAATAATAATAATAATAATTATTATTATTATTATATATATATATATATATATAATATAATGATAATAATTTAAAATTCCGTGTAGAAAGGAGGCATCGATTAATTTTAGAAAGTAATAAACCGAGTAGCTGAGAGAACAAAGTAGTAATAGTAGTAGTAGTCGGAGATAGCACTGAACGAAGCAGCAATTTTCAAAACAGGCAATCCAGAAAACACGTTAGCAGAGAAAGAGAAATTAATTCAAGAGAGCACACACAAGTAACGGAAACAATCTATCTGATAACAGGATAGCAATGGAACAAAGTAGCAACAGTCAAAGTCGAAGAATAATAACAGCAAAACTAAAGTAGCAGAGAAACAAAGTAACATGGAGCGAGAACTCGTAAGAAGAACGCAAGAAAACAAAATTATNGTAACCTTCCTTTAGTAACCGGATTACTGATTGATTTATGTTACGCGCGATTTATGTATAATCTGCTCTCTGAACGACTTTGAAGCCGCTCTCCCGCGGGACACTGTGGGTTACCGTAACCTGGTTTGGATAATAATTGGAATATGGTTAGGTTATTTTAGGTTATGGTTAGGTTATGGTTAGCTTCGAGCTTTGAAATGATACCAAGTTTATTGTCTGACGACTCGTCCTCACAAAATTATGACAGTTCGAGTATCGACAATTTATCGATAAATATATGATAATATATATATATATATATATAACAATAATAATAATAATAATTATATATATAATAATAATAATAATTATTATATAATTATTATTATATATATATATATATATATATATAACAATAATAATAATAATAATAATAATAATAATTATTATTATTATTATATATATATATATATATATAATATAATGATAATAATTTAAAATTCCGTGTAGAAAGGAGGCATCGATTAATTTTAGAAAGTAATAAACCGAGTAGCTGAGAGAACAAAGTAGTAATAGTAGTAGTAGTCGGAGATAGCACTGAACGAAGCAGCAATTTTCAAAACAGGCAATCCAGAAAACACGTTAGCAGAGAAAGAGAAATTAATTCAAGAGAGCACACACAAGTAACGGAAACAATCTATCTGATAACAGGATAGCAATGGAACAAAGTAGCAACAGTCAAAGTCGAAGAATAATAACAGCAAAACTAAAGTAGCAGAGAAACAAAGTAACATGGAGCGAGAACTCGTAAGAAGAACGCAAGAAAACAAAATTATGTCAAAAAACAAGGTGGCAAAGTAGCAAAAGAAATAAAAATTAAAAATTAAATGTGTAGAAGTTTTCTGTCTTAGTTTCTCTGCCTGCTATATGATATAAAATCATATTAGGAAAAAAAAGTGAAGAGAAAGAATAACGGAAATTATAACGGATCGAAAATTGAAAGTTGACATAGTTGAGACTCCGTACGATTGTTCGGCGAGTAAAATTCGTTGAAGTGATTTCACTCGGGAGAGGAAAGGGGGGGAGGGTGAGGTACAGCAAAATTCGACTACGATGTAATCATTTTGAATGTCTTTCTCTATCGTGGCTTTCCTACGGATCCCCTTTTACATCGTAACGTGGCGTCAGACGACCGTGTCCTACATCGAGCCGAAGCAAAGTGAATGGTTGCGATGCTATCTTACTCTCTATTCTATCCCTCTTTCGCGATCTCTTACAACTCATGACAATTCTTCTTCTCTCTTCTTCTTCTTCGTTTAGTCTATTTCTTTATCTGTTCTGTTGGACTTCCTGGAACACGATGTAACCTCAGTCCGCATATTTGTCAAATTCTACTGGTCTGTACACGCATATTTATGTACACTAAATTCTCCCTAATTGACGCACAGATTGTTTACGAAAATGGACAATTTGGGAAGATTATTCGAGCCTTCCGGCTTGTTTTTATATAGTTACCGATTGATATAAATAAAATATATAATATAATATATAATATATATATAATAATATTAATAATTTTAATAATAATAATATAATAATATATATAATAATATTAATAATTTTAATAATAATAATATAATAATATATATATAATAATATTAATAATTTTAATAATAATAATATAATAATATATATATAATAATATTAATAATTTTAATAATAATAATATAATAATATTAATAATATTAATATAATTATATAATATATAATATATATATATAATATAAATATATAATATAATAGTATCTCTCCTCTTCCAAAATTGCCCATTTTTGTGTAGAATCTGAGCGTCGATTA